GGGCGCATGGAGGCGGAGCACGCCTGCGGGTGAGCCGGGCGGCGGGCGCGGGGACCGGCCTCGTGGACCCTCCTGCACCCCAGTGGGTCGGGTTGGGCCTGCCCCTGGAGGGCTGCATGGGAAGCTCTGCAGAGGCCCGGGAGCTGCACACCCTCACCCCGCGCCCAGCACCCCCCTCCCCGGGGTCCCCAGCCCACCCACGGGGCACTTACTTATCCTGACCCCACAGAGCCCTGGGCTGCGGGGGGGCCCATCCCAGTGTCACATAGGGCTCCCCCCCAAGCCAGATGGACCCTGATTCCATCATGGAAGGGTGGGGCGTCCCTGAACCTCTGTCTCTTCTTCGCCCTGGGGTTCAGTGCTCCTGCTTCCTAGACTCATGGTTGAGAAAACCCAGGTAGCTGGTCGGTGGGGACTGGCCAGAGTCCAGAGAATGTCCTTCCATGTCTTGCTGGCTCGTTTCCTCATCTGGCAAACATCGACAAAAATGGTTCTTGAAAACATGCTGGTTCTGGGAGCAGCAGAGGGATTAGGGTATGGCCAGAGAAGGCTGGGCCAGTGCAGGGAGGGGCCTGTGGGAGGAAGGGCCTAGGTGCGCAGTAGGCACCCCTGAGTGCGGGGGTGGCCACTTGATGGGAGAGACTGGCTGGACCCACAGTGATAGGGCAGGGTGCACTGCGCTGTGCCTCTCATAGCTGGGCCTTGAGGCTTGGGTCATGGCTTACTTTGCCCCTGAGGGGCCTGTCCACCCCCCACACCTGGAGCTGCTAGGATTAGAGGAAGGCCAGGTGGGTCCATAAGCCTTGAGCCAGGCCTGCTGGGGTGGGGCCGGCCAGGGCTTTGGTGGTTGGCACCCCTGTCCTTGTGCTCTGGGTCCTCAGGAACGCCATGTGTGGAGGCCTCCAGGCTCCTCCTAGAGGCAGTCCCGAGGAGGAGCCTGGGGCATGAGGCCTGGCATGTGCCTTTGCTTTCATTCGGGGCGGGGTGGGGGGGGTGGGGGGGTGGCCCAGATTGCCCCGGTACAGCAAGAAGCGAGCCAGCCGGTGCATCTATACCTGATGCAGGTACATCTATACCTGGTGCAGCTGGTCTAACCTCCATGCCCCGCAGGCCTGGGAGGAGCGTTATGGGGTGATTCAGACTCCCCTCTGCCCAGTGGGACAGGCAGTAACGCCGGGTAGCACAGCTAGGCCATGGCCTATGTTATCCCAGGGTCTCACAGACCCCCTCATTCTTGCACTGTGGTGATCGCAGTGGGTGACCAGTCCTGCAGTAGTGGGTGACCAGCCCTGCCGTTGTGCCCCAGCTTCCTGGGGCCTTCCTTCTGTAAACACCAAAGGTTTGCAGTGTGCACACTTGGGACACCCCTCCCAAGAGGCCCAGGTGTTTGTGCTACAGCCCTGGGGCTCTCCTCATCCACACAGGGTTGGATGCTGCGGTAGCTACAGGGTTGAGACCCTGGTTGGCTAAAGCAGGCACAGGACTCTGCTCTGCCCTTCCCCTTCTAGGTGCCCCTCCATCTTAGCCCCGCCAGAATGGTAGCAAGGGCTAGTTGTGAGTTGTGGTGCTGACTGTGGGCGGAGGGCGCACTAAGCCATCCCTAGGTGTAGAAGGTGGGGACTGAGGGACCTGTGCCGTCAGCACAGCTAAGCCCTGGCCAGTGGGGCTTGTGCCCACAGCTTGAGGCCAGAACCCAGGACCCTAGGCTGGAGCCTCCTGCAGCCAGGCTGAGGCTCCAGGGGCCTGGCCTGCCTCGTGGACACGGGAGAAGTGGGTGCTGGAACAGAGGCAGAGGTAAGCGGTGTGGGTGGAGGAAGGAGGGAGAACTCTGCCTTGTGGAGGGCTAGGAGGGTTCTTCCTTTGAGCAGAGAGAGTGGGGTATGGGCTGAGTCAGGGACTCCGGATCTGCTAACCACTGGGTCACAGGCTGAGGGACTGTGGTGCCATCTTGTTCATCTTTTCACTGTGCATGTGCCCAGGGTCTCCCAGCCCCTCCAGGGGTGTGTGTGTGGGGGGGGGCTGGCTGCTTTGGGGATCCCTTGCAGCTAGTAGATTAGAAGAGGAGAGACCGAGGTGGAAAGGCCAAGCTGACATCCTCTGTAGTGTCCTTCCCCAGGGCCCTGCCATGGTGTGACCCCTTCCCGGCCACCTGTGCTGTCACCTCCTTGGTATGAACCTGGCAGCTGGCCCTTTGGCCTGTGGTTTCTTGGAGGGCAGAGTGTCTTGTTTACTGCTGGTGGCTGACCAGCTGGAGTGAGTGGTGGCTGGGGGTGGAGACTACAGAAAGCCTGAGGGGCAGCATTTGAGGCCCATACAGCCTCGCCACCCCCCCCACCCCCCCCCGCAGTACCCATTGTCCCTGAGGCTAGCTCTTGCAGAATGGTCGCGGTTTGGAGGTTGTGCAGTGGCCAGGAGGGGCTGGCCAGGCTCAGGGGCTGTGGGGCGGAGGACCAGGCTCAGGGGCGTGGCCTCTGTTGTGGCAGTCAGACTCTGCTTGTAGGGTTCACATGGTCCTGGGGCAAGTCCTGACACCCTGCCCTGGTGCCTGTGTGTGGCTGTCCTGTCACCCCAGGGGTCTGGGGCAGCCCTGACAGGAGGCTCACATGGGGAAACTGAGGCCCAAGGAGGCCCACCCATTTTTTTTTTTTTTTACCCTTCTATAGATCGTGTCTTCTGAAGAACAACTTGCAATTGATGGAGGCGCCCCAGAGGGCCAGTTCTGAGTGCTGCCGCTCCCAACATCGCCTGAGCCGCTGCTGAGGCGGCCTGTGCCCCTCTGACCCTCACCATTGCCCTTGCCCGCCAATGGCCTCTGCTGCCAGGCCTGTACCCAGGGCTGCTGCCTGAGCCTCCTGCCCCTCTCTTGGACTTGCTGTTCCCTGATGGGGTAACGTGACAGACTGCAGATCAGCGGCTGCCTGCCCACCACGGCCCAGGGCCACCAGAGTTTGGCTGAATTCAAGTTCATTTTCCCTTTGTTCCTAGGGGCGTGGGGCCCAGCTCTGTGCAAAGACGGCCTTCCATTCACCCATGTAGAGGAGGCATCCCCAGCAACTGCCCCACACAGGACACCTCTCTGCAGCCAGAGACACCATTGTGGGTTCTTGAAGTTTCCTTTGCTGATTTTTTTTGGTTGTTGTTATTTTTATTTTTTGCCTACACTGAGACAGGACTTTGGAACTGCCCGTCTTACTGGGGTGGGGGAGTGTTTTGTTTCTTTTTTTCTTTTTTAGAATCGGGTTTTCTTTCGGAATTCAAGGCTGGGCAGCTTTCTTGCCCTCCCTCAAGTATTTGCACAATATTTGTGCGGGGTGTGGGGACGAGGCTTTAAGAAATCTTTTCTTTTCAAACAAGCACGGGGATCTCGCTGGACTTGGTGTGGGGGGCTGGGGGAGCCCCCGTGCAGCCCTTGCTGGCCGGTCCTCTCCTGGTCCCCGGAGGCATGGCCCGCATGAACCGGCCCGCACCGGTGGAGGTGAGCTACAGGAACATGCGCTTCCTCATCACGCACAACCCCAGCAATGCTACCCTCAGTGCTTTCATCGAGGTGAGCAGGCTGGGTGGGTATCCTGGGGGGGTCAAGGTGTGAAAGGTGTTGGGGGTCAGTTGGGTTCCCTGGAGTGCTGGCTGCAGGCTTGTGAGCACAGGGGCACTGCCTAGGCTGCAGTAATCTTGAATGCTGGGTGACCTTGGCCTCTGCAGAGGCTGAGCAGGAAAGAGGCCTATGGTAGAGGGCTGCTCACTGAGAAAATGACCTGAAGACAGACAGGTGGGGACAGGAGATCCACCTTGTGGCCAGTCTGGGCTGTAAGAAGCTCAGTCATGGGGAAACCTTGGGTTTGAACAGGCTGTGGGGAACGGGACACCTTCCTGGCTCACAAGTTTGTGTGAACTGTGGCTATGTAAGGCAAGGGGTCATAGTTGGCCATGGGAAAGTGACCACTGCAGTTTGGAGAGGTGACAGGTAGAGATGCCTGCTGTGCACGGCCCCCAGATGTGACCAGCTGTGTTTGTAGAGCCTGTGCAGGGAGCAGAGTCGGAACTGGTCAGCATGGCTCTGCTGGGGCCCCTGTGCGGGGCTCCTTGCCGCAGACCCAGGGCTGCTTGCAGAGCCTGCAGCTGTGTGCAGGGCAGTTTGTGGAAGGCGCTTTTGTGGACTTAATCTCTGGTTTTTTTAAAAAAATATATTTTTATTTTTTTATGTATATGAGTGTATTGCCTGCATGTATGTGAGTGCATACGTGTTGTGCAGTGCTGCGGAGGTCAGAAGAGGGCTTCAGATTCCCCTGGAACTGGAGTTAAGGACAGTTCGTAGCCACCATGTGGGTGCTGGGACTCAAACCCTGGTCCTCTGCAAGAGCAGTTGGTGCTTTTAACCACTGAGCCGTCTCTCCAGCCCTGTCTTTGGTTTTTTTGAGACAGGGTCTCACTGTGTATCCCCAGCTGGCCACAAACTCGCTGTGTAGACCATCCCAGGCTAGACTCAGTCTCAAAGAATGCTGGGATTAGAGAGGTGTGAGCCATCATGCCAGGCTAGCCTTTAGTCTCTTAGTCCTTCCCTGTGGCATGAGCTAAGCCCCACGGATTTGTTGGCATCAATGCAGGGAAGAGTGCCTAGAGGGAAGCAGTGGGTACCCCGCTGTTAGGAAATCTGGACCCTGGGCACAGAGCTGGGTACTCTGTCTCTCTCACAGCTGACACCCTTGAGTTAACAGCAGGGCCTGTGGAGGGACTGGGAAAAGAGCATTGTGAGTAACTAGGGTCAGGGCTCAACGTGTGACCAGGATGAGGGCTTAGTGACGAGAATCAAGACTCAGTATATAACTAGGGTCAGGGCTCAGTGTGTGACCAGGATGAGGGCTTAGTAACTAGGGTCAGGGCTCAACGTGTGACCAGGATGAGGGCTTAGTGACGAGAATCAAGACTCAGTATATAACTAGGGTCAGAGCTCAGAGTGTGGCCAGGATGAGGGCTTAGTGACGAGAATCAAGACTCAGTATATAACTAGGGTCAGGGCTCAGTGTGTGACCAGGATGAGGGCTTAGTGACGAGAATCAAGACTCAGTATATAACTAGGGTCAGGGCTCAGTGTGTGACCAGGATGAGGGCTTAGTGACCAGAATCAAGACTCAGTATATAAGTAGGGTCAGGGCTCAGAGTGTGACCAGGATGAGGGCTTAGTGACGAGAATCAAGACTCAGTATATAACTAGGGTCAGGGCTCAGAGTGTTACCAGGATGAGGACTTAGTGACGAGAATCAAGACTCAGTATATAACTAGGGTCAGAGCTCAGTGTGTGACATATCAAGGCCCAGTATATGATCAGGATCAGGACTCAGAGTATGAGCAGGATGCAGGCTCAGTGTGTGACAGGGTCAGATCTCGGTGAGTGACCAAAATCAGGGCTCAGTGAGTGACCAGGGTCAGGGCTCAATGTATGACCAGAGTTAGGGCTCCTGGAGGCGCAGAAGGCCTCTCTGGTGTCCCTGTGGCCTCTGAGGTGGACAGTCCTCTCATTTCCTTGCACTCTCAGAATAGTTGGGTCCTGGCCTTGCTGAGTCTGGTGTCCCCATCTCATGGCCAGCAAGGTCCAGTCATTCCTTACCACTCTTAAAATATCTGCTGGGAGCAGGTAGGTGGGGGCTGGCCCTGCTTGTGGCCATGGGTATAAATACCCCTTGTTGGCTGTGAGCTGGGTGACCTTTTCTCTGGAGATGTGGCTTCCCCACTGGAGTCTGACTGATTCTACCTTGCTGGCTCTGGGGCCCTTACCCGAGGCCTGCTTGTTAGAGACCCAGAAAGACCTGTGTGGGACCTGTTTGTGCAGCCCGGGCTGGGCAGCCTGTGCAGATACAAGGCTGTCTGGGGGCTGGGGCCACCCTGCTGGAGTTCCAGCGGCTTTATCTGGAGAGCCAGGTCTTGCTGCCGAGACCCCTTGTCCTGGGTACTGCAGAAGTGGGAGGTGATGGGCAGGGGCCATAGCTCAGCAGTTGAGCCTTGGGTCTCAGTGAACACAGGCGGGCACCTTCCCTTTTCCAGGGGGATGGAGATAAGCAACTCAGAAGCCCCAGCAAAGGCCACCCTGTCGGTCACTGAGCTTCTAGATCCACCCTGCTACTTCATGAGCATGCTTGTTTGGGGGCGTGTGGGGGTGTGGGGGGCAAGAGGTCTCAGCCCTGCCTGGGAGCCCCAGTGGGCCAGGCCTGAGGGGACTCAGTTGTGGGCTTGAGGTTCTAGGTCCCGAGCCCCTGTTCAGGCCTTCCCTCTTCCCACCCCAGGACCTGAAGAAGTACGGGGCCACCACTGTGGTGCGAGTGTGCGAAGTGACCTATGACAAGACCCCTCTGGAGAAGGACGGCATCACTGTTGTGGTGAGGGGGGTGTGGCTCTGGGCACAGTGGCTGATCCAAGGCAGACTTGGGCAGCGGGATTGGGGCTCTTCACTGGGGAGCTGGGGCCTCTGCTGCAACTTACCACATCCCAGACTGTCCATGCCTGGGCCATAGGAGTGTGGGTACCTGAGCTGGTGTGTAGGACAGATAGTTTTGCAAAAGTTATCCCCGTTGTACTCCTGTTCCTAGACCTAGCCTGAGGTGGGATCTATTGGCCACAGCTCCTGAGTGCTAGCTCAGTCTGTGGTCTCCTAGAGTCCTCTTGTGTTTCCATCCTGGGGTAGTTGAGGCTTGGAGTCAGACATTCTCTGAGGCCACAGCCAGAGGAGGAGGGCTCACCTGGGGCGTGACATTCCTGTAATAGTGAGGTCTCTATCGGCCTGGTGTACTTGGCATTGTAGCCTGGGCTTTGAGCCCTGACAGCCCTGCCTGGTGGAGATGGAGCCCTCTTGTACAGATCAGCTGGGGCTCAGCAGTTGCCTGTCCTGGTCCAGAGCCAGTGTGGGACAGCCTGGCTCCTCCATGACTGGGCTATCCCAGGGGCCTCTTTTCAGCCTCTCACTGCTTGCCATTTGGGATCCTATCGCTGGGTAGCAGTGGGTCCCCTGGAGGCCCTGTGTGGAGGTCATGGGGAAGGATCCTAGCAGCTGTCTCCTTGGCTCTTCACCTCTGGGGACTTAGTTTAAGTGGAGGAGGGGTAGCTCTGCGGGATGGGCCATAGTGCTTTGAGCCCCAGAGCAGAGGCAGCCATCCTGCGGCCTGGCAGATTGCAATTCCCTGGTGCAGGACCTTCCTGTCCCACACTGGTGCATGGGTGGGCCAGGCCTTGTGTAGCAAGCTCTGACTAATTGCTAGGGTCTTGTAGTCCTGTCCTCAGTGTTAGAGTGACCCTAGGTCACTCCCCTGTGTGGACCCTGTGTCTATGGACTGGGTCTCATATCCACTGCCTGGCAGTATGGAGAGAAGAACTGGCTGGTATCAATCCTGGGCCCAGGCTCAATCCTGTTATTGACCCCTCCTGATCACATGGGCCCGGGATCAATCCTGTCATTGACCCCTCCTGGCCATGAGACCTTAGAGGCCTCTGTGAGCCTCAAGGGCCTCCCATTGCATGGGTGCTTGGAAGAGCGTGAGACAGAGGCATATCAGTACCTCTTTGCACCAGGTACTCTGTGCCCTCCCTGCCTCTGCAGCAGGAGGGATTTGGGTTAGACTCAGGGCAGTGACACAGACTGCTGGTCTCCACAAAGGTGCCTTGACTGGATGCAGGGAGGAGAGAGATAGTGAGATCAAGAACCTCCTTCCATCAGATGACTCCAGCAGACCCACATGGGTTTACCCTGCTACCAACAGATCCCAACAGGTCCAGGTCTGGACCAGTTGATGGGCCTCCTAAGATGCCAGTCTCTTGTCTTTCCTGCACCTTCCTGGGTTGGGCCCTTCCCTATGTGGGCCCCAGGGGACAGGAAAGAAAGCTAACATCCCCAGGGCAGGCCCTCAGCTACTTCTTCCACAGGACTGGCCCTTTGACGATGGGGCACCCCCTCCTGGCAAGGTGGTAGAGGACTGGCTGAGCCTGCTGAAGGCCAAGTTCTGCAATGACCCGGGCAGCTGTGTGGCTGTGCACTGTGTGGCGGGCCTGGGACGGTGAGTGACGGGTGTGACTCATGGTGGCAGGCACTGTTGCAGCTGGGAGCTTAGCCTGTGGTCTAACTTGATTGCCTTTGCTTTTGGGTGTGGGCCACATCCACTTGACCTTTCTGAGGCCCAAGGTTCCCAGGCAAGGCCTTCATAGTTTGGCAGGGAGGAAGTTCCTGCAGAATCTGACCTGACTCCCTCCTGCAATGGTTGAGACTCACTGTACCTCATTTAGGAGAAGAGTGACCCCAGACACAGAGACATGCTGTCACCTAGGCCTGACCCCTTTCTTAAGGAAGAACAGTTGCCTGCATTAGATGGAATGAGCCAGGCAGGGGAAGCCCCTGACGTTGGGCTTTCTGGAGTCTGTGCTCTCCACGAGGGAGCTGAGGGAATTGGGCAAGTCAGGCCTCCATGCCCTGTGTCTTTGACAGGTGGTCTGGGGTAGCGGGGACGGGGCTCAGGGTCCCAGATGACCTCAGCCTTCTCATCTCCACAGAGCTCCAGTCCTCGTGGCACTGGCCCTCATCGAGAGTGGAATGAAGTATGAGGATGCCATCCAGTTCATCCGGCAGTGAGTGGCCAGTGGGGGCGGCACTGGGGATCTGGGGTGGATCCTAGCAGTTGAGTGGATCCTGGGCTGTCACCATGGCCTCCTCTCTCCCCTCACGTCTCACTTCTCTGGTCAGTGGCTGTTTCTGGTGAAGTTTCCCTGGCCAAGGCTTCCTGGGCTAGCTGGGGCTGGGTCAGCCCTAAGTCACCTTTGTAAACAGAAGTCAGGACCCAGTGGTGGTGATGAAGCCTGAACTGGTTCACCTGCTGTAGCTGAGGGACAGTGGCCAAGGCTCCTGACCTCGCACACAGAGCTCTTTGGTGGCTCCTTGCTGTTCAGTGGATGTACCCAGGACATCCGTCTGCCTCTCATCACAGAGCCAGACCAGATACCAAACCCTCCTCTACCCCAGGGATGCCAACTCTGGCTAGTGCCTTTTGCTACCACCAGGTCCCCCGCCCTGTGGTTCACTGTTCAGCTGATGTCCATGGCCCAGCCTCTTCTGCTGTCCTTGGATGCTCCCAGGCCAGCACCTCCTTGTGTTGTGCCCTACCTGGAGGGCCCCCACCTGCCTGATCCTGATCAGCTGGGCAAGAACTACACAGTCGATGCTACAGCCTCAGCCTGTGGTATTTGTGTGGCACACGTTCGCTGTGGGGACACTTTAGTGTTGCCTGAAATGGCCCTTTTGTGCCAGCCATGCCATCTCTTCTCCCCTGGGCAGCAATGGCAGTGTGGGCCTGCTGGCCTTCAGGTTCTCTGGGGAGCCTGGATACACACAGACTGGTGTGCAGCTGGAAAGGCACATCAAACACAGGTACACGCTTTGTATGCCCCTGTGGAGATACAGTAAACACAGATACATACTTTGTATGCACCTGCAGGCTCACACCAAACACACACATACACACACACACACACACACACACAGACACGTCTCTATGCACCTATGGGGGCACACCAGACACAGACAGCATACACATGCACACATCCATACTCTGTATACGCCCTCAGAGGCACATGAAACACAGACACACACTCCGTGTTCACCTGTGGAGGTTCACCAAACACATCTGTGTGCTTTGATACAAAGTCTGAAGAAGGCTGGCTGATTAAGGTGACATGCCTCCCCCGTTAAGCCTGGGCCACCCCAGTATCTCCCCAAAGCACATTCTTGACTCACCCTGTGGGTCCTCCACCTGAGGTCACACAGTTAAGGACAGGAAGTGCTCTGCTGGCCAGGAGGGCCTGTTCCAGCCCCACTGGTCTCTGGGCTCTGCAACTTCCTGGACTAGGTGAGGTGCCCAGGCCCCAGGACCCCTTTCTCTCCTCAGGAAGCGCCGTGGGGCCATCAACAGCAAGCAGCTTACCTACCTGGAGAAGTACCGGCCCAAGCAGAGGCTGCGGTTCAAAGACCCGCACACACACAAGACCAGATGCTGCGTCATGTAGCTCGGGACCACGCGCTGTACACCCGGACAGTGGTCCTGGCCGCCTCCAGCTGCCTCTTCTCCTGAACCTCAGCGCATCTGTGTTCAAGGAGTCCAAGGGCCAAGTTCTGTGCCCATCTGTCTGGCTGTCTTTGTCCCTGTCGGTGCCCACGCTGTCTCTCTGAGGCTGCTCCTGAACTTCCTGCTGGTGTCCTGCAGCCACTCCACCCCCTGCCCAGGCCTCCTCTCCGGCCTGTGTACTGCACGTGGGTGTGTTTTTAACCATTGGGCCCAGCACCTCGAAAGCGGCCCTCACCCTGACCTGTTCTCAGCACCTACCACATTGAATCCTGGGCCTGAAGGTGCTCTGGACTCTTGAAGGCAATAAAACAGAAGCCGTGGATGTGCGTTGAGTGTTGCAGGGTCAGGTGGAGGTTGTAGGGTGTTGGGAGGTTGAGGTGCCCTTCACTGCTGTCCCAATGTGTGCTAAAAGTTCTGTATGTTTCCATGGCACCCTCTGGTGGCCGCACTAGGCTCTGCACCCCAGCTTGGGTCTGCAAGGTTTTGACACATTAAGGCAGAACCACACTTTGGCGTAGTGACAGTTCTGGGGTTGGAGCATTAGAAAGTAAGGCTGGGTCCCCTCCGCAGGACAGGGTGGGGTGTACCTGGACTATCCAGGAACATGTGCCCCATGGGGTGGCCTCAGCCATAGGTCCGTTTTTTAACCCCTTGGTTCCAGAGAAGAGCCCAGTGAGGGGTGGTGGGCTGAGATTTGGGCAGAGACCATTGACTTTGAAAATGCCACCCATCATCCAGGGAGGGAGGGAAGACAGCGTGAGGGCATCAGGGTGGTGTGGGGTACAGGTGGGTCTGAAAGTGTGGGGAGGCTGGGGTGGAATAGGGCCCAAGTAGGGTCCGATTGCCCTGCCACAAGTTCTGAGCTGTGGACTTGCTCTTTCATAAGCTGAGGAAAAGGGAGAAGGAGGGACAGAGCCTGGCTGGGAGGAGTCGGGTGCAGGGCTGGCTGTGTGGTGGGATGGCTGGCTGTGCGCCCCAGCGCCCTGGGTACTGATACCACTGTGGACATGGCCATAGGCCTTTGCAGACCTTCCTGTCTGCTCAGAACACGCACAGACCATCTCCCATCTGCATTTGCCACCCACTTGTGTCCTCTCTTAAGGCTCCACACGTCTGCCCAGTGTCCTCCCATCCGACCCAGCTCTGGACTAGGTCCTGAGACACCCAAGGAGTCTGCCCAGACCACCAGCAATCAGTTGTTCCTGCCCTTCCCAGTAAGGCAGGCCTCGTGCCTGGGTAGCAGGCTGCAGCCTTGTGAGCAGCTCCTGCAAACTCCTCTGCAGCCATGGCCTATTTGCACAAGATCACTGTAGTTTTTCAGGCCACCATCCAGGTTTTCAGCAGCATATTCCTGCCCCAAGAGGCACATAGTCCAGGGGGTGGGAGTGACAGAGTAAAAGGGTTCACCTGGGCAAGGTGGTGCGTGTATATGTGTGTGTGTGTCTATGTGTGTCCAGCACAGAATCCATGGGGCTGGGGTGGTGGTGGTGCGGTATGGAGGTCCCAGAGGTGCTTGGGTGAGATACAGAGCCCAGGGGTGGGTGTGCTGACTGAGCACCCCGGGTAGACCTGGCTGGTCTGGTGGGCCCTGAGGATGACAGTCTATGGGAAAGTCGCCCCCCCACAAGTTCTTTGTACCTGAGGGCCTGTCTGCCCATTTTTCCAATGGGGAACTTGAGGCTGAGGGGCAGGTTCTGGCTAAGGGGTGGCTGGGGGTTCTCAGAGAGCTGGGGACCCTCTGTGTTCTGCTCTGCTGGCAGGTCTGCGGGGCCTACAGCTGGGGACAGATAGCCAAGGCCTTTGTCTAGGGCTGTCTGGCCAGCCCTGCTGTAGGCAAAGTGGAGAAAGATCCTGTCCTGGGCTAGAAAGGCCCCGAGGTGGGGGTCCAGTCCCACATTCCCTGCAGAGCTTGGGACACTGGAGGATGCCCCCACTCCATGAGTGGGCTGCTCAGCTGTGGGCCTGTGACCTCTGCTCAGGCTACATGAAGTTGACCTCATTCCTGAGCTCTCATTAACAGGGTCCATCACAGACTTCACAGTTGGCCTCTGCTCCACCCCTCCCTGCCTGACCCTGACCCTGAATCTTGCCAATATCTTTTGGGACTTGGCTTGGCCATAGTAGAGAGCGGTCAGGTGGTGGACTGGAAGTGGGCAGGTATTACACTTCTTTGTCGAATCTAGAATTTTTTATTTCAAATGGAAAAAAGTTATGCAACCAAGGTCTGTGTGGACAAGGGGGCAGGACTGTCCTGGGAGGTGGAAGGTGGAGAGGCTGTCTGGAAGTCATTTCTTCGGTCTGGCTGACACCTCTCGAAGGAAAGAGAGCTGTCTGGTGGCAAATTCCTGGGTGCCAGGCTCTGAGTCTTTTTTGAGGTCTTTAAAAGCTTCAGGAAAGAAAGGACAAGTCAGAGGTGACCCTGGACTGGGAGCAGCCCCCTTTCCTCCCAACTCCATCTGGGTAGGGTGGGTGTGAGGCTAAGAGGGTTCTTTTCCTCACTGGGCAGCATGGAGTGGGCAGAGCCCCCATCCCTCAGGTGCCCTGGCGGGACAGGGTCTGCTTGGGAGGCCTGGGTCTTATCCTTATACTGGGCTGGACAGGGTTCAGTGCCACTGTCTGTGAAAGGGGCATGCTGAACGAGGCTAGGAGCCTGGAGACGGCTTCTCACTGCAGAACAGCAGCTTGATGTCCTCTTCATTCACCATCTGTGACACAGCCTGGGGTTGGTAGCAGGTAGTGTACCCTGGGCAAGGTGGAAAGCTGTGGGGTGGAGGCTGGGGGCTCTTGGGCTCGAGCCCCACCCTGCCCTCCTCAACCCCATCTCCTCTCCTGTCCTCCCCTTCTGGGGGTGGACCGGGGTGGGGGTGTGGGTGGAGGACTCCAAGCTTGGTTCTGGCTGCCCTATGAAGAGTGCTGCCCAGGTCTTAATGTGGTGGTGGTGGCTGTGCAGGTAGTTGATGGCTTGTGACAAGTGGATGCTGAACTCTTCCTGGCTGTGGGTCATCTGGCCAAAGGAGATGCCGCCTGTCACTGCCTGGGCCATAGGCACCCCTGACCTCTACTCACACCATCCCTACCTCCTTGGGGAGAAGGACAGTACATGCGGTACAGCTATCCTCGGCCCCTCACCAGGCAGGACCAGAGGAAGTGGCGGGCACTGAGGCCAGTCTCCCGGGCCAGTGTGCAGGACAGGGTGTGCCGTGGCTGCCAACGGAGCAGCACCGCGCAGCGGTAGAAAGTGAACTTGGCCTGCTGTAGAGACAGCCCGGGGAGGGGTCACCCACTGTCCACATGTGGGTGAGCCTGACCTTCACTCCTCAGTGACCACAGGCTTCAGTGGGCACCAGAGCAGCCCCTTGTGCTGGTGTCTGTGGAAGCGCCCCCCCCTCCCCGTCACAGCACCCCATGGAAGGCATGCAGCTCTGTGTACTCTCTGTGGGGAACTGGCTGCTCTTGCTCCCGCTCCATGGCAAGGGAGGACTGTAGGGAGGACTCCATTAGTGCTTCAGCAGGTTTACTAAGTGCCGTGTCTCACTGTGCCCTGGCAAAGCCTGCAGGTCTGACCCACTCTATGTGGGTCATATGCATATGTGGGTCTATGTGCATATGTGCCAGTGCATGCCGGGGGATGACAGTTTGGTAAAGTGGTGTGGGTGGCTAGACCCTTTGCTGCTGCCCTCTGGCCCCAGCCAGGTTGGGCCACCTGCCCTGTCCCTGGCCGAGGTGAACGGCAGTGGGTGGGCACTGACCGTGACAACAGCTGGACACTGGTCCTTCAGGTGCAGGAGCAACCATGCTCTGGCACACCTGGGTCTGCAGGCCGCTCAGCTCCTTGTCTGCCATGGCTGCTGCTTGAATCTTGTCCCGCTCCTACAAGGCAGGGACTTAGAGGGCATCCCATGCTCCCCAACTTGGAGCTCTTACCCCACTATGCTCCCGCAGTCAGGGTTATGAATGCAGGGTAGGGTCATGCCTCCTTCCTCAGACAGGTTCAGAGAAGGGTCAGACCTCCCTCTCAGACAGAGCCCCAGGTCATGTCCCAAACCATCCTCAAATGGAATCACCCTGTCCCACAGGGGTGCACAGTGTCACCCAGACAACCAGGTACCATGGAGGCAGTAGGGTGGCTCATCCTCCATTTCCCAGTGAAGGGGAGGTGGCCATTTTGGGCACAGAGACTGGTGTTAGATTAAGAGGTCTGTGTGGTCAATGGTAGGACAGGATCTAGAGGGGCTAGTTGGTGGGGAGGGGGGGACTTGGCACTCTTTAGCCATGAGGAAGGGGCTGGAAGACAGCTGGCCGGCTCTGGTGCCCCTGTGGGTGCACAGCCTGCCAGTTCCCCTGGGCTCAGTATCCAGCGCAGTGAGAGGGCAGAAGGGGTTCTGAGGCGTGAGGAGGGAAGGGGAGGCCTGTGGGAGGCCCAGGCCTCACTGTCCTCATACTCACATAATCAAAGAAGAAGCAGGCATTGGTGGCGACGCTGAGGCTCTGAGCGTCTGTGCCCTGTGAGCCCAGGCAGTGCAGCACATCTGATACCATGCCCATAATGCCCACCACCGTCGGCTCGCTGTTCTGGAATAAGCCGTTGAGGAGGGCTGGCAGCTTCCCTCACAACAGACTTTCCTATGGGAGATGGCGGGGGGCACTGGGTGGAGGGCACACCTCTGTCCCCTTCACCTTGAGTCTGGCCCAGAGCCCCTCACCCCTACCTCGCCTGTTAGGCACTGACCCTGCCTCTATACTCCTCGGGCCCCAGCTCCTAATTCCTGGGCCTGGGGCCACCATCCCCTCCTCCATGAGTACTTTACCCCCATTTCCAGCTCCCTTTGGGTCAGGTGGGGTCTGGGTTTGGACCAAGAAGTCAGGTTGCATTTATTGAGATGGGCCTCCAGACCTTTCATCTTAGGATGAGAGCAGTTCTCCTGGATTGGCTGATGGAGGTGAGCTGTCTCAGCCCCTCTGGGTGGCAGGTCTCTAGGTGTGTGCTCTTCATGTGCTGACTCCATCAGCTCATTCTGGGTCTCCCAAGCTGCCTGGTGTATATACCATGGTACTGTGGTGATCTTTCTTCTTTTTCTTATTTCTTCGTTTATTTATTTATTTTGGTCTTTTTGAGATAGGATCTCCTTGTAGCCCCAGCTGTCCTGGAACTCATTATGTAGACCAGGCTGACCTTGAACTCACAGGGATCCGCCTGCCTCTGCCTCCCAAGTGCTGGGACTAAAGGTGTGTGCCACCTCTTCCATTTTTTAAAGTTCATCTTCAGCCCATTCTACCTGCACCACTTGTTGGCAGTATGCTGAAAGCTCTAGATGAATGGTCAGATGCCTCACACTTTGTCCCCTAAGGTCTGTTTGGTTTAAAATATTAAATTCATGGGGCTGGAGAGATGGCTCAGTGGTTAAGAACACTTACTGTTCTTGCAGAAGACCCAGGTTCAAATCCCAGCACCCACATGGCAGCTGTCAACTGTCCGTAACTCCAGTTCCAGGGGATCCAACGACATCTTCTCTCCTCCCCAGGCATTGCATGACACGGTGCACTTACATGCAGGCAATACATGAATAAACATAAAATAAAAATAAATAAAATTAAAAAATATTAAATTAATTTCCATGGAGTTATTTGACAGCAACATGTACTTCCTGGGCATGTGGTATGTATGCTTGGACCTGGGGTCTTGCCTGGCAGGATGGCAGGATGGAGTTTGGATAGGTAGGGCTGGGAGAGAAATCGGGCACGTACAGCATAGTGTGTCTGCTGGTACGGGGCAGGTGGTCTGTCCTGTCCTAACTGTCTCACACAGTAGGGCTCTGTGCGTTTCTGTTGCACCTGCACATTCCCTCTGGTTCTGTTGTGACTTCTGTTCACACCTGATTTGGAGCTTGGAACTGTTTTTTCCTTTTTAAAAAAAAATATTTTATTTTTATTTTATGTGTATGACTGTATTGCCTGCATGTATGTAAGTGCACCTGTGTTGTGCAATGCCTGCGGAGGTCAGAAGAGGTCATCAGATACCCTGGAACTGGAGTTACTGATGGTTTGTCACAACGGGGGTGCTGGGAATTGAACCCAGGTCCTCTGCAAGAGCAGTCAGTGCTCTTACCCGTGAGCCATCTCTCCAGCTTGTTTTCTTTTTCTTGATCTAGCCCTCCTGGTCTAGTAGTGCTCTTGTCTGCCTCCGCATTCCCTATAGAGCCCTCCTCAGTGCAAGGTACAGAGAGGGCTCAGGGAGACTGCCTACTGATCACCTACCTGGAAGAACAGCTGCAGTGGGTGCAGAGAAAACTGACCATTAAATGAATGAATGGATGAATGAGAGAACACTAGCTGAATAAATATAGAGAATGAACAGATGAAGTAATGAAAGAACAAGTCAGATGGAAGGCCAGTGAACAGGTGGGTGGATGGATGGATGGATGGATGGATGGATGGATGGGTGGATGGATGGATGGATGGATTGGTAGGCTAGGTGGATGGATGGATGGATGAATGGATGGGTGGATGGATGAATGGGTGGATTGGTGGGCTAGGTGGATGGATGGATGGATGGATGGATTGGTGGATGGGTGATGGTGGCTGGATGGTGGTATGTATTCTTTTTCCACTTGGCTTGTTTCAACACAATTGTTTTGAGACTCGCTCACACTGTTCTGCGCCCCCACCACTCAGTGATGGATGGATGGATGGATGGGTGGATGGATGGATGGATGGATTGGTGGGCTAGGTGGATGGATGGATGGGTGGATGGATGGATGGATGGATTGGTGGGCTAGGTGGATGGATGGATGGATGGATTGGTGGGCTAGGTGGATGGATGGGTGGATGGATGGATGGGTGGATAGATTCATGGGTAGATGGGTAAATGGATGACCAAACAGATGGATAGATGGATTGGATGAGTAGATGGATGGATGCGGTCAGGTAGGATGATGGGTGGGTAAACAGATTGGTGGGATTTGTGGATGGGTGGATAAATGGGTTGGTAGACAGATGTATGGATGTGGTTGGTTGGTGGGTAGATGGGTTAGTGAGTGGATGAATGGGCAGATGGATTGATGGATGAGTTGGTGAATAGCCCTTTGATAGGAGGGATGGGTGGATGATGTATGGCTTGGAGCGTGAACAGATGGGTGAATGGATGGGTGGGTAGATGGATGTATGGGTTAGCAGATGGATGGGTATGGTTGGTAGGTAGGTAAGTGGATAAGTGAGTGGATGGATGGGTACTTGAGCAGAGGGGTGGCTGGATGGGTTGGTGGATAGATGGATAGGCAGAAGGGTAGAGGGATGAGTGGATGATGGATTGGTGGCGTAGGTGGATGGGAAGTTGAATATTTTGGTCCACGGACAGCTGGGTGGGTGGATGGGTTGGTGAATAGACAGAGGGATGGGTGGATGGTAGTTGGGTATGTGGCTGGGAAGATGGATGGCTTGGCCCACGGACAGCTGGGTGGGTGGATGGGTTGGTGAATAGATAGCTGAAAGGATGGCGGGTAGGTGGGCTTGTGCATGGACAGATGGGTGGACAGAGGGCAAATGGATAGGTGGGTGAGTGAGCAGGTTGATGAGTCCTAGCTTATCTCCACCATCTATTACTAAGCACTTCTGTGCCATGTGTAGTATCCCTCGGTGTGAGTCCATCCACTGGAGCCTGGTCAACTTACCAATTGTCAATCTCTTAGAGAAGACCAACTGTCCTTCACCCAGCAGTGATCAACTGCCAATAGTTCCTCAGCCGAGGCTGGGGCTTCTTACCCATTTCCCCACTTTGCTGACAATGGTGACACTAATGGTGACCCTCCTTAACCATGTGAAGGCCAACAAGTCCCACAGAATTGGAGTGAACTAGGCTGATGGTCAAAGAGGCTTTGGGGCTTCCTTGGAAACTGTCTCTTCTGAGGCCATCCCATGAACACAGCTTCTCCTGCAAACTCTGAAAGTTTTTGTGTTCACAGCAGCCTCCCCCAGCAGCGACAGAGTGTGTCTGTCACTTCCTAGGGTGAGTAGAGCTGAAGACCTCACACTTCCCTCTGGTAAGAACACCTTCATCTAGTTCAGCATCAGTGGCTGGGTCACCACTGGCAGGACCACAGGGAGCTGCTCATAATTGGGTGGTGCTGCTACTTGTGATGACAGTGGCTTGAGGGCTGACTATGGCCAGCATGCTGACCACAGCTGGTATTGGTCTCATGACCCACCCATCATTCACGTCCAATTTCCATCCCATTTTATAGACATGAATGCTAAGGCTTGAGTCCTGAGCAGCCTCCTCAATAGTCTGGGTGTGGGTTTATTCAGGGCCTGGCTCTTATTGCATGGTACCCACAGTGAAGAAGATGTCTGAACTGAGGGCTGTAGATAGGGAATGGCAGGTCTCCCAAAGGCTATATTGCAGGACTTCTTCCTTCCAGCTGTCCCTTATGGGATTAGGTTTGCTATGGTATTGGGTAGACTTGGTTGGGAATGGAGAATTGGAAGATCCATCCATGAGTCTCAGGGGATCTTTTCTCTGGGCCAAGTGAGGGGTGCAGCCTGCCTGGCTCCCCTGCCCTGTGTGTGTAAGGGGGTTTTTCATTTCTAGGGGACAGGCACTTCCCCCTCCCACAATGCCCCCTTTTCTGCAGATGAGGAAGCCGAGGCCCAGAGACAGGAAGTCAGTATCTCTGGTGACATTACCGGAAGTGACAGAGCTAAGGGTTTTATCCACTGGGCCTTGCTCACCCCTGATGCCTATAGCTACCTGCCCCTCTGGCCTTACCTTCTCCGGGTGGGAGAGAATGTCTCCCAGGCCCTGCAAGCTAGCCACACGGATCTCAGGGCTGGTGTCCTGGAGGCCTTGAGCCAGCACAGTGAGGGCAGCCTGTTTGGAAAGCATCTCCAACAGAGCAGGGCTGTAGAGGAACTGGGGGCCCCAAAGGCAGGTGACTCAGGACTGGCACTGTCTCCTGGGCAGCCTCAATCTGTGTTGGGGGTTCTGGGGCCAGGGTCTGGACAGCATTTTGGGGGGGATTGTTCACTGGCACCCCCTGGGTACTGGGGTTAACAAGCATTTGAAATCCTTCTAAGTGTGGCTGGGGAAATGGAAGCCCAGAGAGGTCAAATAGCAAGTCTGGATCCAGCTTATACCAGTGGCAGGCTCATGGGACACACAGGGAACGGGGTCTCTGGGGAGGACGGCTCAGAAATCCCTTTGGCAGAGTGGGAAGTGACATGAGGCACTGGATTGAGCTAGAGACCAGGTAACTGGTGCCAGCTATGGAGAAAACCCCCAGGCTGTGCCACGGCCAGAACCACACCCAGCCCTCATTGAATCATTCCTTATAGCTCAAGGTTCTAGGGTGGAGGCCCTGAGTCACATATGAGCAGGGCAGTGTTTCATTCGAATATGATCTACTGAGTCTACACCCAGAACTCTCAACTCTGCCAGGGTCTTTGAGGGCAGGGAAGGGAGGAGAGACAGGTCCTCCAAGGCTACAGGCTGAGGATCCTGAGGGATGGAGGACCCCTGTAGAGATTGAGGAAGGGGCATTTGGGTAGCCTGTCCCCACAAGGCGAGGTCCAGTGGGCATCCCGCCTGGGGTTGAGGAGATTGGGGGATGGTGTCTAGGGTCCACCCCTGCCCTGCCCTACCTCAACAAGGACCAGGATGGCTGTCTTCCTCTCCTGCTCCTGCTGGTTCCGTAGGCTGGGCAGCAGGTAGCCGAGGACTGCCTTGATCTGTTTGCACTGGTTTTGCAGCATGGCCCTGGGGGCAGGGCCTGGTTTTATAGTCACTGCCCAGAGTCTACCTCCCACCACCTCCTTAGCTGGTCAGGCTGGGCAGCCAAGCGAATCCCAGCATGGTAAGGCTGGCATGTGTCTCTGTTAGTATGTTCCTTTCCCATGTACCAGGCCTGGGTTGGCTTGGGAGAGGGAAAGGAGGAATAGGCAGTTCTTGTTCCTGAGGTCAATGGCTAGGTTGGGACTTAGGTGGGGAGGAGTCTGCACCTACAGGGTCTGAGTGTTCTGGGAGTGTGTGTGTGGCTGGGGCTGCCCATGCCTGCGGGCTGCTGTGTGCATGTATGTGGATCTAAGGGGTGTTGCCCCTGGGCTGCCCTAGATGACCTCAAGTGGTCCGCAAGGCTTGAGGGCTGACCACTGTGATCTATACACCCAGCCTCTCCTGCCCTCGCCCCTCTAGTACCTGGCAAGGAGGCCCACGGCCTGTGGGTAGGTGTGGATGGAGGCGAAGTGCTCCCAGGCACTCTGCAGCTCCAGGTGGGCAAAGCCATGCCAGTGCCCGCTGGTGGACAGCAGACTCTTCAGTGTCTCCAGCGATGTGCTACAGTGAAGCAGAGAGGCCAGGGTCCACTCAGGGCTGCGGAGCTCACCTGGGCCTTCCCCTGCCCTTGGGAAGTAGGTCCTGGCTCTCTGCCGTGAAGCCTTCCTCCCTAAGTCTACATGGTCATTCCCTTCTTCAACACAGAAATGGTAAGCTGCTCGGGTGGGACTGGAGGGCCTTGTGTTTACCCGGCCATGCTTTCACAGCAGGATGAGTCTGCAGTCATTATGCAGCTGGGTTACAGGACAGAGCACAGGAGACAGGCATGGAGAGGGCTGTGGGTGGTCTTAGGCTCTGGGTCTCCCATGTCCCAGGGTAGGGAGGGTCCTGGCTGAGCCTTGAGAGATGTAGATGTTTAAATCTAGACAAAGAACACAGAGCAGGGAGCAGCAGGCAACCCTGTGCTTGTCAGCGCTGGGCACCTGGAAGGGCCCTTGTGCTAAACGCAGTACTGGAAACAGGGAGGAGCCTGGGAATGCAGGCCCGTGAAGTCTAGGGTGGCTTGGTCCCATGGCTGGTTGTCCCTGGCCACCCCTGGCTTGGATGCGCTGAGTGCATGCCTCGCTCTCCCTGAACTGAAGGTGTCTGCTTGGACCAGCGTGTTTCAGCGCTGTCAGGGATGCCTGCCTGATTGCTAGGGGGAAGTCACACCCTCTGCATGTCCCTAAAGTCCTCAACACCCAGATGCTTTTAAGTTCACATGCATGCCACATGCAGCCATGGGGCAGTCCCCGGATCCCTCCACCAGCCCTTCTTCAGCCTCTCCACATCCCCACAAACCAGTGATGCCCACCCTTAGAGCCTTTTCGTTTTCCCACGCTGGACCAGAGGGGCAAAGTCTCCCCAGAAAGGAAGATGAAGCTCATGTGCTCCCCAAGGGCCAGCCAGACACCAGGGCACTCCCCAGCCCCACATTGCTTTCTCTCTGGTTTTACTTTTGTTTTTATTTGTTTAGTAATTGATTATGGGGACGGAGAGATGGCTCAGTGGTTAAGAGCACTGGCTGCTCTTGCAGAGGACCCGGGTTCAGTTCCTAGCATCCGAGTGGTGGCTAACCACCATCTGTCACTCTGGTTTCAGGATATCCGATGCCCTCTTCTGACATCCGTGGGCATTGCATGACACGGGCATTGCATGACACAGGTGCACTTACATACATGCAGGCAATACACTCATACACATAAAATAAAAAACATTGATTATACATATGTTTTGTGTATGTACTTTGTGTCTGCGTGTGTGAATGTGGTGTGGACATGCTACAGTGTGTGTGTGGTCAGAGGACAACCTTTGGGTGCCAGCCCTCACTTTCCACCTTGTTTGAGGCAGGGTCTCTTGTTCACAGTTCATAGGCCAGGCTAGCTGGCCTGCGAGCTTCCAGGAATTCTGTTTCTGTCTCTGATCTGAGCACAGAAGCGCTGAGATCACAGATGCATGCTGTCACCTCCAACTTTTACGTGGGTTCTGGGAATTCAAGCCACGTTCCTCGTGCTTGTTCGGCAGGTGCGTTACACAATGAGCCGTTTCCCCAGCTGCTTACTTCTATTTTTAATTGAGGTAATAGGGCAGATCACATGTAATTTGCCATTCTAGTAAATTTTAGGCAGATGGTTTGGTGACCTAAGCACAGCCACAATACTGTATAACCCTTACCACCCTCCATCTCCAGAGCCCTTTCATCTTCCCAGATAAATGCTGACTCCCCACTCCTGTGCACCCCTGGCCCCACCATTCTACCTCCCATCCCTGTGGATTTGACTCCTCTAGGGACCTTACAGGAGTGGAATCCTATAGCACTTGTCTTCTTGGGTTGTTTTGTATTTTGAGAAAGGGTCTCATGTACCCCAGACTGGCCTTGAACTTGCTATGTAGCTGAGGAGGACCTTGAACCCTTGATCCTTCTTCCTCTACCACCAAGTGCAGGCTCGGCTGTTTGCCTTTTGATAACTGGCTTATGTCACTCAGCATCAGTCCTCAGGTTCATCTGTGGTGTTCCACATGCAGAATCACTCTTTGTCACGGCTGAGCAGTGCCTGTGATGGTTCATCTGGAAGATGAACATGCCTCTGGTTCCTTCTGGTATGTCCCCTTTCTCTTCTTCCTGTCTACCAAGAAGTGAAAAAAAGCTTCCACCACATGCTCCTGCGGCCATGATGCTCGACTTAAGTGCATGGGACCAGTGGGCCATGGTCTGAACCCTCTGAAACACCAGCCAGGATAAGGAATTCCTTCCTTCAAGTTGCTTGTCAGGTATTTGATAACAGCAGAGAACAGTAGCTAATGCAGTATCCCACTACCTGAGTCTATTTGTCTACCTGCCCACCCACCCATCCATCCATCCACCCATCTACCCATCCACACATTCACCCAACCACCCACACACCCATCCATCCAACCATCCATCTGTCCATCCATCCATCCATCCATCTGTCCATCCATCCATCCATCCATCCATCCATCCATCCACCTACCCACCCATTCATCCCTTCATCCATCCATTCATCTACCTACTCCCCTGTCCACCCACCTCTCACCTATCCACCCATCCATCCATCCATCCATTTACCCATCCATCCATCCATCCATCCATCCATCCATCCATCCATCCAGACTCTTGGTGTGCTTCTAGTTCTGCCACTGTGAATAGTGGTGGTCAGTAATGTTTCTAGACTGTTCTGAGTCTCTGCTTTCATTTTCTTTCTGGTAGAAACTCAGAGCAAAAGTGAGGTTGCTGGGTTGCGTGGTCATTCTGTATATTTTTTCTGGAGATCTAGTCTCATGGTATACCCCAGGCTGGCCTAGAACTCATACTCCTTCTTCCTCAGCTTCCCAAGTGCTGGTGTAAGCACGTGCCACCGTGCCGCATGCTGCAGTTGACTCTTTTGAGGAGCGTGCACACTGTCTTCCGCACAGCTGTGCCATCTCTACGCTCACAGACAGTGTGTAAGGCTTTGTTTCTGCACATCCTTGCTGACCTCTACTGCTTTCTGTTTTGTGATTGTAGCTACCTTAATGGATATGAGATTCATCTTTCTCCTTTTTATTTTTGAGACAAGGTCTTGCTATGTAGCTTCAGCTGGCCTCAAACTCTCTGTATAGCAGAGTCTGGCCCAGAACTTGGGATCCTGGGTTCAGGCGTAGGATTCAGTGCTAGGATTAGTGTGTGCACATGCCTGCATTTTTTTAAAATCATGTTTTTTCCCCTTGCCTCAGTGCAGAGGCAAGCACTAAGGCCAGGCCAGGGTAAGAGGAAGATGGAGGGTGACTTGGAAATAGAGGGATGAGGTATCTCAGGAGCTAGGGTGACAGTGGAGGACTGGGAAGTCCTTCAAGGGGCAGGAGTGACACTGGCTGGCAGAAGACCCAGCTGAGAACTGACCTGGGTGAAGTCTCTAGGGCAAGGGTCTTTGTGAGTCAGGAAAGCAAGGAAAGGTCCCTCCTGGGCGTGGGGCCTGGCCCAGCTGAGCAGGATGTCAGGAGCCTCAGAAGTCCACCGGCAGCAAGACTTACCTGGCTGGAACCCACTGTCCTGGGCCATCTAGCCCATGGGCATCTGGACACACTCAGGAGTGAGCAGTCGTACCCCCTCCTCAGCCCCTCTTTTCAGTAGTGCTGGTCAACCTGGTACAAGGTGCCTTGGACTGTGACAGCTCATAGAACCACCTACCCTCCAAGACCTGGAGAATGGCAGCCAGCTGCTGTAACCACTGGCTGGCACCCTTGTCCATGTGCCCTGTGGCTGGCTTGCCCTATGCCTGGGCCTCTTTAGGTGATGCCAGTCAGGAAGTTTCCTCTGGGGAGTGGGGCTCAGGCTCAATTCAGCTTCAGGTAGACACAAGAGCTAGGCTCAGCCAATTAGAGTCTTGAAGGTTTCCATTAATTCAGGGATGGGCATGTAACTGGAGCTGAGCCAATCAGAACTCATGGATTCTGCCCATGGTAAGTTCGAGCCCGTGGCTGCAAGGGTCACCTCTAGGACAAGCCTATAGAGTGGCCAGTGAGGGACAGAGAGCTGAGGTGGACAAAGATTCTGCTCCATCCATAGGGAAAGCCACCCGTGGACCCCAGGCATGTGGGACTTCTCATGCCCCAGAGAAGAACCCAAGAGAAACAGACAGCTCTGCCTTCTAGGACATTCCATTCTTGGGGAACAGGCAGCAAACCAGGAAAGAGGCACAGATATCAGGTGTTGGGAGGTGACTGCATGGTGCAGGGTGGGGTGGGAACTGCGGGGGGAGTCACTGTTCATAGAGGATGGGTGGGGAGGCCTTGCCATGTGATTTGGTAAATAAACAGAGCTGAGGGCATCGGGCACTGGGGGAAGAGCCCCTAGAGAGGAGAGCGGTAGGAGGAGGAGGCATTTGCATGCTCCCCACCCTCTCATGCTCTGAGAGGAGAACGTTTTTATTAGCTTATTAGGGAAGATTCATGCATTTTGCTTGGTTGATCTGAATAAAAAAGGGATTTTGTGCACATTTGAATTCAGAGGCAGTCTGAGGAGAAGTGACATTTGTTTTGGTGACGAGCCTTGGGGAGAGCTGTTAAAACTGACAAATTGTGTGAAGCACATCATCACACAAATGAAAAGAGGGAGCCCCAGTGGTTCTTTAAAGACTTGCTTATTGGATTCTGGGAAATATGACCAAGAGCCTTCTGCAGAGGAAGATGGCCTGTCTCTCCCACCCTGGTGAGGTGGGGTGGAAGGGAACCGTCCATAACATTGTACAAAGACAAGCCAGGGTCTGCTCAGGCAGCCATGGTATCTGGCTGTGGTGAGTGAGGGCTGGACGGTCACCTGTAGTTCAGCCCACGGCCTCTTGACTAGAGAACACAGGAGCCATCCTGAGCCTCTGTTACTCCATCTGCACTATGGAGAGGACAGCGCTCATGTCCTGCGCCCTCAAACGGGGTAAGAAGACAGACACTGTGTTGGGACTGAGTAGCCATGTCCAGGGGCCCCTGCTTGATAAGGGTCTGGGTGGCCACACGCCCTTGGGGACCAGGAAAGCAGATACACATCTGATATGGTGGCCATGGATGGCATTTGAGATCATGGCTACTATGGGATGATTGCCTCTTGTAGAAAGATGTGCTGGAGACAACTCTCATACAAGCCAAGCTTGTGACCTTATTTTGAATCTGGTCTTTGCAGATGCCATTAGGTCAAGATGAAGTTATTAGGGTGGTCCCAACTCAGTGACTGGTATCCTTGTAAGAAAGGGGCATCTAGATGCAGGTAGAACACAGTGTTATGGGATGGTGGAGGCTAAAAGTCAAGCCATGACCACTAGGGATCCTGGGACCTGCAAAAGTGAGGGAGTAACAAAGGGCTCTCCCCAGATGCTCTAAGAGCAAGGCTGCGAGCCCTCTGATTTTTGTTCTCTGACCTCTGAACCCAGGGGAGCTAACTCTACAACTCTATTGTCTAAGCACTTCTCTCTCTCCTCTCTCCTCTCCTCCTCCTTCTCTCTCCCTCTCTCTCTCTCTCTCTCTCTCTCTCTCTCTCTCTCTCTCTCTCTCTCCTCCCTCTCCCTCTCTCTCTCCCCCCCCCCCCCTCTCTCTCTCTCTCTCTCTCTCTCTCTCTCTCCCCTCTCCCTCTCTCCCTCTCCCCCCCCTCTCAGTTTGTTCCTTGGGGGCAAGAAGCTAACTTTACCCTGGGTGGTCCTACAGGTATGTGTGTTGCCTGGTGATCTGCTCAACCTGTGAGGTCCAGGCTCACCTCTGGGGGCTTGGCATGGCTGCCTCCTGGGCCTTCTGCCCCTGTTCAGACTCGGTGGGTAGGTTCAGCTCCAGGACATAGTGTACTTGGGACAGAAGGGACAGAAACAGCTGGGGAAAGGAATCCCGCACGGCCTTCTTGAACTCTTGTGCGAACTGCAGCTCGTGAATTGTGTTCATGGCCTGTTGGGGTGGGAGGGATGTGGGTCTGAGGTCCTAGGGTTCTGGGCCAGGCGAGAACCCAAACCCATATTCAGACATGCTCCCCCCACCCCCATCTAAGCATTCAGACAATGTCCCTCATCCTGGACTGGCCCACACTATCTGTGCACTCACCTTGAGAGCCTTTGGACCTATAGCTCTGGTCTCCTTGATGCTCCCCAGACTGGTGTTCCTCATCAAAGTGCTCCCCACAAGATGCTCTGTAGCCTGTGCTTCATAGCTAAGTACTTCCAACCTCAAGCTCTTCAGCCTGTGCTCCCCAGCCTGTGCTCCCTGGTGGAACTCCCTAGCCTGTGCTCCCCAGCCCGTGCTCCCCAGTCTGTGCTCCCTGGCGGCGCTCCCTAGCCTGTGCTCCCTGGTCCGTGCTCCCCAGCCTGTGCTCCCCTGCCTGTGCTCCCTAGCCTGTGCTCCCTGGTGGCGCTCCCTAGCCTGTGTTCCCTGGCCTGTGCTCCCCAGCCTGTGCTCCCTGGCCCGTGCTCCCCAGCCTGTGCTCCCTGGTCCTTGCTCCCCAGCCTGTGCTCCCTGGCAGCGCTCCCTAGCCTGTGCTCCCTGGCCCATGCTCCCCAGCCTGTGCTCCCTGGCAGCGCTCCCTAGCCTGTGCTCCTCAGCCTGTGCGCCCCAGCCTGTGCTCCCTGGTGGCACTCCCCAGCCTGTGCTCCCTGGCGGCGCTCCCTAGCCTGTGCTCCCTGGTCCGTGCTCCCCAGCCTGTGCTCCCCAGCCTGTGCTCCCCTGCCTGTGCTCCCTAGCCTGTGCTCCCTGGTGGCACTCCCCAGCCTGTGCTCCCTGGCTCGTGCTCCCCAGCCTGTGCTCCCTGGTCCGTGCTCCCCAGCCTGATCACCTCTTGTATTCTCAACACTGTGTTTACAATAGCTTTCTGTCTAGGGAGGATTCAGGTGGGAGGAGGGGCAGCTCTGGTCTGTTGTTCAGGGGTGTTTGGGGTCAGGACTCTGGAAAGTTTTGCACAGTGTCTGGCACAGCTATTGCCTTGCAAGAGACTAGCCAAAGCAGACAGGTATAGGTGTGGCTACCTTAGCAAGCAGGCGCCCGTCCCAGGGTGCGCACACAGGGCATGGGCTGATGGAGAAAGCTGGAGAGAGGTTCCCAGGAAAAGACGGTGTTGCAAGAGGCAGTCTCTAAGTTTCCTCCACAACCTTTGACCTCACTACGAGACATAGCCTTGAGCCCCACACTCTTGGCCTCTGTCTGCATCTTGCCAGAGGCCACACCCCTCCAAGGCACAGCCAGGGCTGAGTCCCCTTAGCATTCCTGAAGGGGGACCCTCCTGACCCTCTGCTGGGGGCTCAGAGTCCTGAACAATTCATTAGGATCTGAGCCTAGAGGCAGGGGTTGTGTGTCAATCTCTGGATGAGGCTGCCCGAGGCTCCTCTCCTCCAGATAGGGGATGGGCTGGGGTTTGGCTTCCCTTGGGTCCTTCCTGGCAGCCTGGCACACTGGCCAAATTGCTCACAAGGCTGCTTGCCAGGGATGGGGGTGGAGACTCATGGCCAGCGAGTACAAGCAGGGCTTCTCCTTGGGACAGGAGCGTTGTTGCTGGCACCAGTGGACAGGGGCCTCCTCTATAGCCAAGCCAGCAGCATGGCCAGCACCAGGTGGCTTGCAGGCTCCTCGGCTCCCAGGGCCCTCCACAGGCAGAAGGAATCGCTGTGGAGAGAGAGAGGTTGTGAGTGTACACTGCACTCAGGCCTGCTGGACGTGTTGAGTAGGCTCGGTGCCTAGGGCCCCAGTGAACGCCACAGTATACTTGCGCCTACTTTGCGGGGTGGTGGTCACTGAGTGCTGTGATCAAGGTCCTGCCTGGTATCTGGGCACTGGCCCTGCACTCATGAAGAGGCCTAGGGCAGGAAGGGCACATTGGGGCTGTTCTGAGTTGGCTCTGTAGATGTTTTGTGGTTTGCAGCAGCCTTTGGGCCTGACTATTGGGTAGAAGGGGCTCTGTGGGGCAGAATGAGGAAGGCCATGGTGGGGCAGCTGTGTAAACGTCAAGACAGACCCTTAAGGCCCTGCGGGAAGCCGCTGTAGCCCAGCTGACACTTGCCAGGTAGGCACAGATGATGGGGTTCCGTAGTGTGGCTCCCAGTCCTGGAGAGTGTAGGGCCTTTGAAGTCAGAAGGACTGGGTGCAAATCCTTTCTCTGCCCCACATGGCTGTGTGACTTTGGACTGCAGATGACTGACTGGAGAGTCAGGGGTCATGGCTGTATCCAAAGGCCAGAGTAAGAAGACTTTCCCTGAGCTTGGGAGTCTGCAGGGGGAACTTCCATTCTGCCTCCTGGTCTGTCCCTCTGTCTGCACCTTTGTGCTGAGCACTAATCCCTGAAGGCAACATTCCTGAAGGTGACCGAGATACACAGAATTGGCAAAAATCCTTGATGTACTAGGGTTGACAGTCTATCGGGGGACAGGGATGTGTCAGATACTAAGTGTTGAAGTTAAGAATGAAGTGGGGAAAGGGAAAGGAGAGTGAGGCTCCTAGGAGCCAAGGGAACAAGTGCTTCCAGGATAAGAGCCCGGCTGTTCACCACTAACTCAAGGTGGGGATGGGTCACTGACAGCAATATGGAGCTTCCCACAGAGGCAGGGGGAGTCTGAGCTAACAAGGCTTGGGAAAAACTGGAGCTATGAATCCAAGAGCAGAGACACACAGTCGGACCCACGGGAGGACAATGGCTTGAACAGACATTTCTCAAAGAAGAGTCATGAATGGCTGAGGAGTTCCGGGAAGAGCTGACACCAGAGACTGCTGGGAGCCACTGCATGTTACTGTACGCCCACTGCCATGGTGTCATCTGAGGAGTGAGTGTAGCAAGCCCCAGCAAGTGTGTGGAGAAACTCGAACCCACACACTGCTTGGGAGAGTGGAGGAGGCAGAGACACTCTGGAAAAATCACAGCAGTTCCTCGGGGAGGGGAGGTTAGACTGCCATGAGCCCAGTACCTTTACTGTGTGCACACACCATGACAATCAGAGAACAGATTCAGACATACACAGTTGTCCCCTGGAATCATGGGGGTGGGGGTGGGGGTGGGGGGTTTTAGGATTTCCCTTGGGTATCAAATCTGTGGATGCCCCAGCCTGGCATGGTGGCTCATGATAGCACTTGGGAGGATGAAGCAGGAGGATTGAAGGGGTTTGAGTTATATAGTGAGTTACAAGCCAGCCTGGGCTAGAACGTGAGACCCTGTCTCTAAAAAACCAACCAACCAACCAACCAACCAACCAACCAACCTACCAAGCAAGCAACCAACCAACCAAACAACCAGAGGCTGGAGAGATAGCTCAGCAGTGAAGAGCACTGGCTGTTCTTGCAGAGGACCTGGGTTCAGTTCCCATCACTCACACGGCAGTTAACAACCATCTGTAGCTCCAGTTCCAGGGGATCAAATGCCCTCTTCTGGCCTCTGGGGGTATTGCATGCACATGGTACACTTAAATATATGCAGGCAAAATGCTCATATACATAAAATAAAAACCATGTTCAAGTTCCTTGTATAAAACCATGTACTCTTTACATATAACCTACACATCCTCCCATGTGCCTCCTTTAAATCTCCCCACTTAACACCAACTATCCAACACTAGGCAGATCCTGTGTAATAAGCGTTAGGCTGCATTGCTTGAGGAGTAAAGACAGGACCATGTGCCGGGGCAGCTCGGGTGCAGTGTCTCTGGGGCTTATTCTGATTCTGTGGATGTGGGGGCAGCAGAGATAGAGGGTAGACTTCTTGTATGCCAGTGTTGACAACGGGTTATTCACAATGGAGACGAGGTGGAGACAACCCAGGTATCCATCAGCAGATGAACGGATGAGCAGGGTGTGGTGCAGACACACACACACACACACACACACACACACACACACACAGAGCAGGAGAAAGTTTTGTAATTAGATAGTGGCTACAGCCGTGCAGCACTGTAGATGCAAGTGATGCCGCTGAATTGAGTCCTCAAGAGTGCTTCAAACGGCGGGTTTTATGTCACACACATGACCGCAATGGAAGTAATAATACATGCCAAACTATTGACTTGTACTTTTAAGTGGGTGAATTATATAGGATGTGAAAGGTGTGTGTGTGTGTGTGTGTGTGTGTGTGTGTGTGTGTGTGTACATGTGCATGCAGTGTTGAGAACTGAACACCCAGGGCCTCCCAAAGCTAAGCAGTACTTTACACTATTCTAACACACCCAGACTGTGAATGATAATTTTATCTTAAAAAGGAACGAGAGGCCCCCATCTTCCAGGAGCAGTACATCAAGTTACTTGACTCAGCTCCTCTCTTTAGAACAACAAACAAGGCAGGAGAAAACACAACCCACTGGAGTTAGGTCAGCATGTAGAGGAGCCAGGCCAGCGAGGGGGGTAAAGGGGAAGGGTTGGCGGGGAGTCTGACAATTCTGGCATACCAGGTCCTTCGTTTGGACAGATGAAGGGACAGAGTTCTGAGACTGATTAGTTTAACAGGAGGGGTCCCCCCATCCCAAGTGATGCTCAGTTGATTCGAGCAGGTGGGCGGGGGGCGCTTCCAGGGAATGGAAAGCTCTGGATTTGGCTGTAGGTAGCCTTTCACAATAGCGTCCTTCAGTGCTTGGAAGAAGTAAGCACAGATTCCCTCTGGAGAAAAACGGCCCCAAAGTATTCTTGTCATTTTCTGAGACAATGTCTAGGACACTGTTAATGCCAGTCAGGCTATGAGGAAGCAGGACTCCTCCATGGATGATAGCAGCCACGGCAACAGATGAACCAAGCTGAGCACAACCCAGACATGATGCTCAGGTGTGGGCTATGCAGCACTGAAGATACTTTCAGAGAATGGCAAGATACAGAGACAGCACAGAAAAAGAATCAAGCCAAAATCTGGTTTAAAACATGCCAGATCTGAAATTTAAAATACAATGGAAAGGTTGAAGATCAGATTAGATGTGGTTGAAGGAGAATTAGTGAGAAGAATTACCAGTCCCTGTCATCCAATAGCAATTGGGTATTGTGTAAACAGACAAACAAACAAAAAAATAGATTTATAGTTCCTGCAAGAGCAACAGATTGACAGCTGACTTTGCAGCAGCAGAGATGGGAGCCAGAAGGCGGTGAAATGCTACCTGCTTACTCCAGAAGAGAGTAATAGAGTGCCCCCGAATCTGCAGGGGTGCGTTGCAAGACTCTCACTAGATGCCTGAAACTCAGGAATGGTGCTGGACCACAGGTAGATGTGCACACTGACGTGAAGCTTTGTGTGACCTGGGCACAGTGAGATCATCTATAGTGGCTTAGAGAAAGCAGAGCCAGTATAACAAACTGCAACACGTGGTGTGGTCTTCCCCTGCCTCACAACACTGCTCAGAACAGTACCTCATGAACTCTTTTCCTTAGAATTTTACATTTATTAGTTTTGGACTGCAGTTGACATGGGTCGATGAAACCGTAGCTAAGGGGGAACCCACTGCCACTGCCCACCTGGAGTTCTATGTAGTGAAAACATTTTTTAAGACTGGAGATGAAATAAAGACATTTTCTGACAGAAGCTGAGAACACTTGCTAAACACTGACCCAAACTAAAAGATAGCCCAAGGGACAGGCTTCACAGAGAGTCTTGGGCAGGAAATTTGAATTTCAGAAAAGGACAAGAAGCATTCAGGAAAGTGGGGCAACTCCAGATTCGATTTGTGAGATTTCACGTAACACTAAACAACGAAAGCTTTAACATGGAGTGGTGTCAATTCACACAAGGATTTTGTAGATTCTTTTTTTTTTTTGGTCTAGAAGGAGTAAAGATAGTAACTTCAATCCCAAACACACTGACAGTTATATTAAATGTAAACGGAATAAACACTCCAATCAAAGGCAAGGACTGACTTTTTTACAAAATTCTGTCTCAAAAAGACAAGTCTGGGGCTGGCGAGATGGCTCAGCAGTTAAGAATATATACTACTTTTAGGCTGGGTGTGGTGGCGCATGCCTTTAATCCCAGCACTTGGGAGGAAGAGTCAGGTGGATCTTTGTGAGTTCAAGGCCAGCCTGGTCTTCATAGTGAGTTCAAGTCATAGTGAGTTCAGGGAGACCCTGTCTCGTGTGTGTAAAACACAAGGATTTTGTAGATTCAAAAAAAAAAAAAAAAAAAAAAAGAAAAAAAAAAAGAAAAAAAAAAAAGAAAAAAAAAGAATATATACTACTTTTGCAGAGGACCTGGCTCTGGTTCCCAATACCTGTATAAGGCAGTTCACAATCACCTGTAATTCTAGCTCCAGCTCCATGCAATCCAATGCCCTCTGGCCTTTGTGGGCACTGTCATGTGTGGCGCACATAAACTCACTCAGACACATACATATACACATAAATTTATGAAGGCTGGAGAAATGGCTCATGGCTTAAGAGTGGATACTGCTCTTGCAGAGGACCGAAGGTTCCCATCACCCATGCTGGATGGCTCACAATCACCTGTAACTGTAGCTTCAGGGATTGAATGCCCTTGGGTACTTGTCTGTGAGGAACAGTGAGCAGAGAGGGAGGTGAGTCAGAAATTCTGAGCCCGTAGCTCACATCATACCTGAGAATCAGTTCAAATGGGCCAGAGAATGTTATGTGACACCAGCAGGAGGACCTCGGGCAAGGCAGCTCTGTGAGCTACACCAGCTCCTGACCGGAGACGT